CTGCCTGCAGCTCCTTGCCGTCAATCGTAATATTGACCATATTACTCATACTTTCAGCTCCATTCAATTATACACCATTCATCATACGATTTAGCTAGAATTTTTTTTACGAATATGCACCCACAAGCGAAATCAATAGTCGTTAAAGAAAAAAAATTAAAAAATTGCGATTTAGGTCTAGTAAATATGATAAATCTATTATATAATAGATAATACGAATATGCAAGAGAAAACAAATTAAAATTTGAGCGAATTTAAGAAAAATTGATAACTCTGTGAAATGTATGAAGGAGAGACGAACTATGGCAAAGCTTTACCTTGCCGACCCTAACAGCACAGACGCTAAGATCGGTAATTTCCTTGGTAAATTTACCAATAAAGTACGAGTTTATCCACCAGGCACATGCCCTATCACCGTGCAGCTGTCCCTGATGTCAGCCTCCAAGAATCAAACCTGTGGCAAATGCGTACCATGCCGCGATGGACTGCCTCAGCTGCACAAAATGCTTCATCAGATACTTGACGGTGATGCTACTATGGACACCCTTGCGGATATGAAACGCATGGCTGAAATGATTCGAGATACAGCAGACTGCGCTATCGGCTACCAGTCAGCTATCGAGCTTCTGCACTCCATGGAAGAATTTGCCGATGAATACGAAAGCCACGTAAATAACCATACCTGCGTAGAGCAGAAGGTACAGAAGGTTCCATGTATCAACCTCTGCCCTGCCCATGTAGATATCCCAGGATATATCGCACTGGTAGGCGAACAGGACTATGTAGGTGCTATCAACCTCATAAGAAAAGATAATCCACTGCCAACAGCCTGTGCCATGATCTGTGAACATCCTTGCGAAGAGCGCTGCCGCCGCAGTATCATTGATGACATGGTGAATATCCGTGGTCTGAAAAAATATGCCGTTGACCAGATTGCTGCTGACAAGGTACGAGTGCCAAAGCCAGGCGTATCTACAGGTAAGAAAATCGCTATCGTAGGCGGTGGTCCTGCTGGACTTACAGCAGCCTACTTCCTCGCCCAGATGGGACATAAGGCAGTTATCTTTGAACGTCAGAAGAAGCTGGGCGGTATGCTGCGCTATGGCATACCTAACTACCGTTTCCCTAAAGAAAGACTTGACGAGGATATCCGTGCTATCCTCTCCGCTGGCGATATTGAAGTACGCTGCCAGACCATGATCGGTGACGGTGAAGGCGAAATTCCTGTAAGCCAGATAAAAGAAGAATACGACGCAATGTTTGTAGCTATCGGCGCCCAGAAAGGTAAAACCCTGCGTCTTGACGGTATACAGGGAGCTAACCATGTAGAATCTGCCGTAGAAATGCTGGATAAGATAGGCAACGGCAATATCCCTGACTACACAGGAAAAACTGTAACCGTTATCGGTGGCGGTAACGTAGCTATGGATGCTGCAAGAAGTGCGCTTCGCTGTGGCGCAAAGGATGTACGAATCGTATATCGCCGCCGTCAGGAAGATATGACAGCCCTCGCCAGTGAAATCGAGTCAGCTATCATGGAAGGCATCGAAATCATGACCCTGATGGCACCAAAAGCAATTAAAACTGACCCAGAAGGCAACTGCACCGCCCTCGTCGTACAGCCACAAATGATAGGTCCATATGACAGAGCAGGCCGCCCAAGTCCAGTGAATGCTGTCAGCAAGCAGCCTATAGCTGTACCATGTGACGTAATCCTTATCGCCGTTGGTCAGGACATCATCAGCGCACCATTTGAAGCAATCGGTATGCAGGCCAACAGAGGCGTATTTAAGGCAGGCTTAGACACCGAGGTAACAGGCATGGCTGGCGTATTTGTCGGCGGTGACTGCGCAACAGGCCCATCCACTGCAATACGAGCTATCGCAGCAGGCAAGGTAGCAGCTCACAACATAGACGAATATCTCGGCTACCACCATAAGCTGACCTGTGAAGCATGCGCACCACATCCAAAGGATAATAACCGCACACCAACTGGCCGCTCCAACATCACTGAACGACCAGCATATATAAGAAAACACGACTTCCTCCACGTAGAAAACCAGTTCACATTTGAAGAAGCCATGCAGGAAGCAAGCCGCTGCCTGCGCTGTGACCACTTCGGATGCGGCGTACTGCTGGATGGCATAGACAAATAATAAGACGTAAATAAATTAGAGGCAAGCACTGATTGAGTGTCTGCCTCATTTTATTGCATATAATATTCATTTATTTACCAATTAACTCAAATCTATATTTCTGTACCACATCTGGATATAAAGTATGATCCACCTCAGACATGAACATATCAAGAGGTCTTACATAATCCTCATAAGGAGCATAAAGCTGAGAATACACCACATACTGCTCATTGGTCTCCGAATGTTTAGATATAGTTATGATACGATACTCCTTACCCTTAAAATGTCTCCATATCTGCCCTGACACTGGAAAGCATCTAGTCGGCTCAACTTTAACATCATAAGTAACGTCATTAGTATCATCTTTATTAACAGCTGTCTCATATATTAACTCATTTTTATCGAGACACTCATATACCCAACGTCTTATAACATCTGACGGAGTAGCTATATACCTGTCACACAGTGTAACAAAATCACGCTTCAACTCATTGCTGATATTAATAGCAATACGGCTGGTCTGCTTCTCATCCGGCCATGACTTGACTCTTTCCTTACATACAGTTATACTATCATTTTTTATAGCTGCAATGATTTTAGACTTTAGGTAAATACCACTGCCAGTCTTGAAGCGTTTCGATATAGCTTTAAACAGAACATAGGCAGACGGTTCTATCTGCACGTAAATCTTGGAATCGTTCATATAGCTTGCTCCTTTCCGCTTAGATGTACCCATTTTACGTAAAACACTTGCCATACCCATTCATATATGATAATATATATATACTTAAACAATTAGAAATACTATCATTATTCAATATTTGCAATTGAAAGGATGTGTCAATATATGTCAACAGCAACTCTAAATCTGACTATTGATCGCGATGTTATCAAACCATGTGAAGAAATATACGCTCAGCTTGGTTTATCACTATCCAATGCAGTAAATATGTTCTTACATCAGTCACTGATACATCATGGTCTGCCATTTCATGCCAATTTAGAATACAATGATGAAACCATAGCAGCATTAGAAGAATCTGAAATGCTCCTAAAAGACCCCAAAACTCAATACTATACCTTTGAAGAAGCACTGCAGGAGTTAAAAAAAGATGAATAAAATCATATGGACTAGCAAATTTAAAAAAGATTATAAACTTGCTGAAAAACGACATATGCCTATGCATCTTTTGCATAATATCATCCAAAAACTTGCAAATAATGAGGCTCTACCTGTTGAGAATCGAGATCATTCTCTAAGCAACAACTGGAAAGGCTATCGTGAGTGTCATATTACACCTGATTGGCTGCTAATATACAAGCATGAAAACGATAAACTTGTGTTAACATTAGCTAGAACTGGCAGCCATAGTGATCTTTTTAAGTTATGATCCTTTCTCAATATAGAATCGTATTCACTAGCAAGGTGTCACAAATCCTTTACTGGCTCTTATGGATACGATTTTCAACTCTGATTTATCAAATACAGAGCTAAAGGACACTTTGAAAAAAGACTACAATATTACATTAACACCTGATATGAATGAAAGGATGAAAACTATGTGTAATCTCAGTTATGGACATGCCCAGCGCCATTATGATAGAGGCTATGATTCTGGTACCGATAACAGTAAAAAAGAAACCGCTCTTATAATGTTTGAAGATAACGAACCAATTGGAAAAATCAGCAAATACTCTAAACTGACTCCTACTCAAATCTGCGATATTGGTCTCAAAGCTAACTACATATCTAAAGATAATGATGGACAGCTGACCTATCTCGGAGAAAAACTAGTGATTGAAACGAATGTATAAATAATTGCTGTAAATAAATACTTTGCTGATATACGAGCCTTCCGTGATAAATCATAGGAGGCTTTTGTTATAGTACGGTTAACAAATCTCATTGTAAAAAAAAGCACTTACTTTAATATTTTAAGAAAATGTAGCCATTTACCTTATTTTTTTAGAACTTTACTTTAAAATTTAAAGACTTTATGTAAAACACTTGCAATTAATTTCTCCCTATGTTAGACTATATCTGTAATCTCCTTTGGCGCCATAGGAAAATGTGAAAGGAGAACGCAGCAAATATGACCTGCTGACTGTAGTAATGATTTGCACTGCAGAAGATACATCCAAGATTGAAAATCCTCTGCTAAAACTTCTCAGCTTAATCTTTAATCATGGTCACAGCGTAAAAGAGCTAGAAAACAAGTTATCCACTGATTACGGTATAAAGGTAACTCCAGATTTAAAAGAAAGGATGATAAATATGTGTAATTTGAGCTATGGTGTTGAACAACGTGGCTATAACCGCGCTGTTGACCAGCGTAATAAAGAATTTGCTACAAACATGTTCAATGAAAATGAACCTATTGAAAAGATTGTACGCTATTCAGGATTAACAATTGAGCGAGTTCGTGAGATTGGCATTGCTGGTGGCTTCATCAAAGAGTAATATTTAATCATTGTTAGGCGATATCTTCGGATATCGCCTTTTTATTAACTAGAGACTATGAGAAAAAGTCTCGGATAAGAACTATTCAAATTCCATGAAGAGCTAGCACACCAAGTGAGTACGAAGGCAGACTGTAATTAATTTTCAAAGCCTGTGCCTTAGTAGGATATCTCAGAATCAAGTACTGTCAAGGATGCAAGCAGCCGCAAGTGGCCAAGCCCTTGACTGTACTGGTCAGGCAGAGAGGCTTACTAGGGAAGCAAAACTTTAACATATAAAAATATTAATCAACCCATTGTTTTCATCACAGAAGATTTGCTATTTACAGAAATAGTTTCACACTCCCTTATTGAAAACAGTAAATAAATACTTTGCTGACACACGAGCCTTCCGTGATAAAATCATAGTAGGCTATTGTTATAACTATACAGTATCTCCATAGCTTTTTTCCTTATCTCTGCCATACCAATATCTACCTTAAATAAATATTCTGCAATAACTTCCATAAATTCAAAATCACATGTATTATCCAGATCAAGAACAGCAGTATCTCTCATGAATATTGTTCCACACTTAAAATCAAACATATGCCCCTCATTGGATAAATAATGTGGACTATATGCATATAAAGATGCATTCATATCAAAAATTTGTGGTGCCTGCTGACGTGCAGTAAATTTACTTTTTATCACTACATCAGCCTCATCATCACCATTTACTGATACCATATTAAAGTATGGATTACGTCTAGAATCTGTTACGGAAAACACTACATCAAAATCAGACGACATCTTTTTTTCTATCAGATTTTTTATATCTTCTACAGTACGAAGCGGTGATGTAATATCACAATCAACAATCATATCATATTTTTTACCTTCTGATTTTTCCATTTCAATCCAAGTATCAGCAATTACATCTTTTTTTGCAACTACATCGCCAGCCAAATTTTCTTTTCTCTCTATGTAGGCTACTGGTATTTCACTATCCTGAACTAACTTTACAAGTTCTACGCTGTCTGTATTCAATGCAATTTCTATATCATCTTCTGTATTAGATTCTTTATAGAGCTGAATTGCAGCTAATGTATAATATACAAGTGGACAATCTAAAAATTCTTTAAAATTCTTACCTTTTATCCCCTTTGAACCAGCACGACCACATATGGTAAATAATATATTCATCTCATTACCCCCTGTGTATAACCTAAAATCTTATATGCCTCATTTATTGCATTATAACCTTCGCCCTTTTTTATCAAATCTAAAAAATAACAGATTTCTCTTTGCTGATAACTATCCCTTTCTTCAGCTAAATCAACTATTTTACCAGACACAAGATATCTAATCTTACTATTTGTTAAATCTGCAACGATAGTTTCATCTTTAGTAAACAACATCATTTCACGTATTGTTTTTCTACCAAAATAATCAAGATGTAATTCAATCATTTTATCACAATATTCTGCAATATAAATCGCACTATCTTCGCAATCAATTTCAAGATTAGATTTTTTTAAAGCCATATAATTAATTCGCTGTGGTACGCCAAATAAATAACATAAATAATCCCACTCATGAATTAAATCTATACTGACACCACCACCCATATCTTTATGAGCACTATATGTCGTTCTATAGTCAACACCAGGTCTCCAATCTGGAAGATATGAAGAACTAATCGCACGAACAGATATTACTTCCATAGGATTTATATTATTCTTTATATATTGAATAACATTGGTATACCTCAATGGACAAGCAACATAATAAACACTATCTGATCTATATTTTATATCATACTTATTTTTTATTTTTCTAACAGATGTTATAGGTTTTTCAATGAAAAAATGCTTCCCTTTCGAATGAAGCTTCTCTAATGTTTCCATATGAATATCTGTCGGATTAGTAATAAAGATGATATCATAATCATTGGGTAAATCTTCAATTTTGTAATATGTATGTGATAACATCCCTTCAATATCTTCAAGAAGTTTTTTTCTTGAATTTCTAAGTGCATCTATCTGTAAAAAAACGTCGGTATTTGAATAAATTTTATACAGATTACAAATATGCCTTTTGGCAATTGATCCAACACCAGTAAAGCAAACTTTTAGCTTATTCATTAATAGCCTCGATTCTGTCTATCAACGACAATACCCGTAAATCATCTTCAAAATCATAACACGGACATTTGCCTTCAAAAATTACATCTAAAAAAGCTTTAATCTCATTCTGATAAGCATTTTCTATTACAAATGAGCTATATCCATCTATATGTTCACTTAATTCATTTAGTTTAACATTCTGAATTTTTTTATCAATAACATCGAATTCTTCTAATGTATCTGGTGTACCGTTCCACGAATAATATACGCCATCACCATAAATTTCTAAATTTCGCACTGCCTTAGGCGAAACAACATCTATAATCAAAGTACCTTTATTACCATTCTCATGTTGTAATTGTATCATATAATTATCTTTATAAGAGATATTCAGATCTGTAATTTTATCAGATAATACATTAAAATTCTGAACATCTCCAAAAGTACCTACTATCCATGGAAATTCAATTGCCATAATTTCACGACAACCATTAGTACGTTTATCTCCAATAAAATAATCTTTGAAGCTTTCCCATGGGTGCCAATCAGGAAGGTATTGTCCTATATGATAAACATAGTTCAGCTTATTTTTATCTTTAATATTTTCACGTATATATTTAATTTCTTCTCGATAATAAAATGTTGATGATAAGAACAAAACCAGTTTTTTCTCTTTTGCCAACTTTATATTTTCTTCATATTCATCAGCTACAAGATTAATCTCTGTGAATACATGTAAATTATGCTGTAGTACAGAATTTATTAATGAGCTGTGAGATAAAGGTGATGTGCAAATAAATGCTGCTTCAATGGTAGGATATAACTTTAGTGCATTATCTATACTGTCACAAACATCACAATCTAGTTTTTCTTGAACGTCCTTTCGTCTATCTTCTCTACTGTCTATACCTACAATCTTTCCTATTTGAGAAAAACGCTTCATTAGTCTGATTCTTCTTTTTCCCATAGAACCTAGACCTACTACTAATACATCCATTCAACTCACCTCGAAATTAACATCATAAAATTTCTTCTGCAAATTAATTTCTTTCTCATAAAAATACTTTTTAATAATCTCTACTACTTTATTAACTGTATTTCCATCACCATAAGGGTTTTGGGCATTTTTTACTATAGCCTTAAATTCATTACTCAATGCTTTGTCAATAGCATTAACAATCTCATCTTTCTTAGTCTCGCAGTCAATAACCGATTCACTACGTAGTCTTCCTTTTTGTCTATTACCTATATTTACTGTAGGAATACCAAAAGATGGTGCTTCCACTAAGCCACTAGATGAATTTCCCAATACAAATGCCGCATAATTTAGTGCAGATAAATACCTGGTTAATCCTAATGATAAAATAAAGAATACATTATTATGATTTTCTGCATACTTCATTAACATATTGTTTACATCATTACCACCACAATCTGCATTAGCCCCTGTTATAATAAATTGAATTTCAGGAAAACTTTCTATGGCAGCTAAAACCTCACTGCATTGTTCCAATAGGTCGCTTTCCAATGTAACTGGATGAAAGGTCATGACAGCATAAGGATTTGATAAATCTAATCCTGTGAACAGTTCTAATTCTTTTTTGCTAATCTTAGGTTCATTTAAGGCATTTTCTATACCAACTGCACCTACACAAAAAACTCTATCGGGATTTTCTCCCAGCTGAATAACTCTATGCCTATATTCTTCCGTACTTGTAAAATGCAAATAGCTCATTTTTGTAATGGAATGACGAACCGCTTCATCAATAGCACCTTCTGTAGTCTCACCACCATATAGATGAAAAATAGGAACCTGTGCATTCATAGCAGAACAGCAAACAGCTAAGGTTTCATAGCGATCACCTAACACCAGAATTGCATCTGGTTTAGATACTTCAAAATAATCAGCAAAACCTATCATAGCTCTGCCCATGCTTTTAGAAATTCCTGCTGGTGAACTGCTATCTACTTTCATATCAACTTTATAAGCTATTTTTATACCATCTTTTTCTATTTCTTTATATGTCATACCACAGCCGTCAGATAAATGTGCACCAGTCACTACTACTTCTGTCACAAACTCAGTACACTGCTGCAATTTTAAAATAAAATTTTTTAATAAACCATATTCTGCTCTAGTTGCGGTCAAAACTGCTAGCTTTTTCATATTTCTATCAGCTCATCCTCTCCAAAGGCTCTAATAGCTTTAGTCCCCAGCACATCATTCCATTTCATAGGAGAAATACCATTACCTGGTCTTTTTGTTGTAATATTATCCTCTGTAAAAATTTCACCCTCTGCAATATCACATTTTGCAACAATACTTTTTCTTGCAATAGCAATATTTTTCATTTCAGAATTAGCAGGCTTTTTTACACCATTACCTAGTGCCTTCTCAATATTGCGAATAGAATCAACCATAGCTTTTAATTCATCTGGTTCAAGACTCGCCTTATGATCAGGTCCTTCCATATTTTTATCCAGGGTAAAATGCTTTTCTATAATAGTAGCACCCATAGCAACTGCAGCAATAGGCACCTCTATTCCTTTAGTATGATCAGAATAGCCAACCCTTAAACCAAATTTATCCTTCAATGTCTGCATGGCTTTCAGATTCACATCTTCATACGGAGTTGGATATTCGGTAGTACAATGTAACAAGGACACCTCACCTGCACCATTTTCTTTTAGCAAATTCAATGCAGCTTCAATCTCAGCCAGCTCACACATACCAGTAGACAAAATTATAGGCTTGCCTGTTTTAGCTATTTCTACTAAATATGGATAGTTAGTTATCTCACCTGATGGAATCTTCCAGATATCGCACCCTAATTCATTAAGAAAATGAATACTCTCAATGTCAAATGGCGTAGACAAAAACTTAATATTTTGCTCTGTGCAATATTTAGATAAATTCCTAAATTCATCCTTAGACAAAGTAAGCTCTAATAACATTTCTTTCTGGCTTTTAATCTTGCCAATATTTTCTTTTTGATATTCGGCCATATCAGCATTTTTTGATGTCATACTATCTACGTCGAAGGTCTGAAATTTTACAATGTCCACTCCAGCAACTTTTGCTGCATCCACCAGTTTTTTTGCATTATACAAACTACCATTGTGGTTTACACCAGCTTCAGCAATAATCAACACCAGTACTCTGCGTTGATACCACTGCTTTTCTTGGCTTGGCAAATCCTATTCCTTTTGAATTTTCTCTTATTTTTCTCGCAGGATTTCCAATATAAACAGTCCTACTCTCAACATTTTTTACAACCACAGCCCCCATGCCGATAATTACATGGTCACCAATATCTAATCCATCGCGCACTACAGAATTAGGACCTACAAAGCTTCCCTGTTCAATAAATGTATTGGCACCTAATCCAGATTGCCAATTGATAACACAATCCGCACCTATTTTGCAGTCATTTTCAATAACAGCATTAGCATGAATAACTGTATTCTCGCCTATTCTTACATTACTGGATATAAATACAAATGGAAAAATTATAACACCATTACTAATTCTAGCACTTGAAGCGATAACTGAATTTGGATGAATTACTGATGCAAATTTAAAGCCCTTATCCTGATATAGTTTTCTTAACTTCTCACGCATCAAAGGCTCACCTAACGCAATAATCACTTCAGTGTCACTAGGATGTTCTTCAAATAATTTCTGTTCCTGTACGATATTATTTTTCTCATCTGCCTCAGTATCTACAAAATATACTCTGTTCCACTTATCCTTCAAATTACATCCATGGATCATATCATATATTTCCCTAGCAAATTCACCTGCACCTACTATTGCTAAATCCATAATCAATATCCACCTTATACAATATAAAATATATCCTATTAATTTTTACCATTTTTTATATTTTAATAAATCACCTTCATTGTCCATAACTAGCAAACAACCACTTCCTGTTCTTGAATTTGTTGCTATACCTACTCTATCAATATCATCATAATGTATCGAATGTTCATCGAATGTATAACTCCATTTATAATTAGGTATTTGTACATCTAAATTATCCTGAATATATCGTATACCTTTTGTTTTTACAACAAAAAAAGGTTGAATTCCAAACGTTTTATTGTCCGACTCTATTATCAGTTTGTTATTTTCCCAATAAGTCTTTATATTAATTTCTTTACCAGATACTTTTAATACCAATTTAGCAGCATCACATGATCTACAATTTTTCCACTTTATTTCTGGATATTTACAGGAAGCATTTTTTATCATTTTATATACATCATCTACATCATAGCTCATATCTCTAAAATCATGATCACAAAAGCTTAAAATTACATCCTGACCATTTTTAGCCAATAAAAATGCTTTGTCTACTTCTTCCTGTGTTAACAATCGATGTCTTGTTCCAATGTTCAAACATCTAAATATTACTCTATTACAATTACCAATCTTCTGATAATCATCATGTGCTGGATGGTATGGTTCCCAAGTAGAAATTGCTCTTCTCCAATCGCCAAATCTACCACCGATTAAATCAATTTGCTTTAAATCATCATCAGTTAAATCAATAGCTTGATTTCCAAAATCATATGGTATAAATTGTTCTAATAACCAATGACTATCAGGCCTCTCTGTATGATATCCTGGTCTAAAGCATATAGGAAAATCATACCTATCAACTAACCGTCTAGATAATGATTGAATAATATGTGGAGAATTCAAATAAGACGTAGCACAACGATGGGCTTCTTTATAAACACTCATAGGATGTGCATGCCATTGAAAATCATCATTTTGCAAATTGTTAGTTAATCTACCATATGATTTATAAAAATCATATACATTATTATATCCTATATCCCTATTACGTGGATTATCTATAAAATCTGCAAAATCAACAATAAACCAACTATATATCCAACCATTACCAAACGAATCTTTATATTTTTCCCTAAACTGACTTGATGTTATATTATCTAACATTTTTGAGATATCATTCCAATCTCTATTATATGCCATAAGACGTTTTGAAAATGTCTTCGATGCAATTTCCTCAAATCCATTCAAATTTAATTCTTTATTTTGTATTCGGATTAAATTATCGTATGATGGTTCTATATTACATCCTGTTAATAATTTAATTCTCTGAAATGTAGCTTCTATATTTTCATTTAAAGGCCCTTCTGTATCAATACAATGAACCACATATACTGTTCCCATAATAACCCTCCCTATTTTGTAACGTATCCTAATTTATATAATATTAAGTTTTTCTTCCATACGTTTCATTTCCTCAAACTCGCCCATATCCAGAAAAGAGTCTTCGCTGATAGGGTACATTCCTACCTTATATCCTTCTTTCATGAGCATATCTGCCATATGTGTCATATGAAACATGGTATCATCAGGAATTTTCTCAATAAACTCTGGGTTCATTACATAAAGTCCAGCATTGATAAAATAGCTTAATTTTGGCTTTTCTTCCATAGATACAACCTCACCATGCTCCTTAGAATGAAGCACCCCATAAGGTACGGTAATGTTTTTCAGTGATGAAACAATTGTCAAAGCATTACCTGATGTCATATGATACTCCATAAGCTTATCGTATTCGGCTACAATAAGTGTATCGCAGTTAGTTATTATCACCGGCTTAGTAAATTTATCTGTAATAAGCTTAATACTTCCAGCAGTGCCTAGTGGCTTATCTTCTTCTACATAATGCACATCATAATCAGGATTTAAGTCTGCAAAATGAGCCTTTATTATACCTTTTTTGTAATTTACTGTAAGATAATACTGAGAAATTCCATATTCACAGAACTTATTAATAATACGCTCCAAAATTGGAATATCGCCAATGGGAATCAGCGGCTTAGGCAATATTTTAGTATATGGATAAAGTCTTGTTCCTTTACCGCCAGCCATGATAATTACCGATGTATCCTTCAAGGACTGACTTTTCTTTGCTATATTCTCTAAATTTTCCGCATTCATAAATATAATATCTTCCAGTTTACTATCTATGCCAGTTACTGGTAATGCCGTTATAGACTTAACCTTCATGAAATCAAATGCTGAATCAACTTCATTCCTTGATATACACTTAGGTGATCTGTTCATAAAGTCAGCTATAGTTCCAGATATGCCACCACTCTTCATAATCCAGCGACGAATATCTCCATCAGTAGCAGTTCCTAATAATTTTTGTTCATCATCGACAACAAACAAAGTCTTATTTTTATTGCTATCAATTCTAGCCATGGCATCAACTACAGACAGATTTCCCCTTACAAGATAATCTTTTATAATCTTTTCATTCATCAGCCATCGCCTCCAAAACAGACATAATAGTATGTGCTACATAATTGATATCATCATCAGTTAAATTTGTACTGCAAGGAATGTTAAGAATACAGTTTGAGTAATATGGTGCTTTCTCCATCTCATAAACCAAAGAACCTGCATACGGCTTCTGCTCGTGAATAAGCCCCCAAATAGCTCTGGTTCCTATATTATTATTCTCTAATTGTGTGATTATGTCACGCATAGAATTTTTTATTTTATTCCTGTCAATTAACAAAGAATAAAACCATTTATTAGAATATGTACCTTTACGGAATGGCATCAGTTTACCAAACTTAAAACCAGCAAATAAATTCTGATACAAGTTAAAATTTTTATTTTTACGATCAATAAATTCTGGCAATTTTTCAACTTGTGCCACACCTAATGCAGCCTGTAGATTTGTCATCCTGTAGTTAAACCCTATTTCATTATGGATGTAGTAATGCGGATCATCCTTTGCCTGAGTAGACAAATAACGAAGATGATCAACCTCTGCACTATTGTTAGCAGTAATTGCACCACCACCACCAGTTGTGATTATTTTATTACCATTAAAGGAATATGCACCGTAATCACCTATTGTACCAGCATACTTTCCCTTGTACTTACCTTCTGTATAATAACTTCCCAGAGCCTCAGTGGAATCCTCTATAACCTTAAAATGAAACTCTTCTGCTAACTCCATGATAGCT